AATGAAATCTGAGTGCAATGTATTTCAGCAAATATTGGGCAGATTCTGCCTACACAACATGGTGGCCACGCCCACTTGGTGGCCACGCCCACTTGGCCACGCCCCTGGCACCCGGCGATGTATAAGTGGTTGGGGGTCACCACAACATGGGGAACTGTATTATGGGGTCACGGCATTAGAAAGGTTGAGAACCACTGTGTTAAGGGTATTGTTGCAGGATGTTGGGCTTGAGGTCGATGCTGGTTGCTCTGAGCATGGAATTGTCACGTGGAGTTGTCGCCTGAGCTCCGTCACTGGGACTAGGGCTTCTTCTGGGCATAGAGTGGTGCTGACCTCGCCGGTCATCATGCTCACTAGTGGGCAAAGAGCGGGTGACCTGTCCCTCGCTTCTCACTTCTAGCCCCTCGAACTTCTCCACCAACTTCTCCACCGATTGGGTACGGACTGCAGACAGGTACCTCCACTCATACGAATCTTCTGCTGCCACCAACCTTTTAGTTCTTCTCCATTCGGGGGAGCATGATTCCCGTGAGGCACCCGCTTGCAACTCTGACTCAGCCACTCTTGAAGAACTGTTCTTTGATTGGGCTGCCTCGGGATGCTTAGGGTCTTCACTGGGCAGGGTCCACTCTGAAGACCACAATAGCTCCCGCGGTTTGGGTCTTGCTCCCGCCACCAGAAGTTCCGAACTCACTTTCTTCAACGATGCAAGGGCTTGTGCTCCATCTGCTGAGGCAGTTGTCGTGGTCGGGGTGCTGGCTGTGGGTGCATCTTTTTTCTCCATGCTCCATCTTCCCTGAATCTTTGTCATCCTCCCCTCTGAATTGGGACGGTGACTGGAGCTCAGGACCCCAAGGATGTTAGAGCAGAATGGATTCTTGGGTTAATGTCATGGTTTTGATAGATGAAACCAGTTAAAATAACTTCAAGGCAAGATTTCTTCCTTAAATAACATTTTATTAGGAAACAAAGTATCAGCACTTACATAGTTGAATCCAAGAATGAGATTCCCTCCTCCCAGATACAAAGTAACAAATTGCAATTCCCACCCCACATGAGCTAAATCACATTCCCCAATTAGCACAAAACTGGGCTTTTCTCTCCAGCCTCTCAGCCGCCAAAAGCTTATCAGAACATGTCCTTGAGTTCCCACACTTCTACATTGTTACGGCTAGCTAAACCTTCAGGCATTTACCCCATCCCCCTTTCTACATCTGAACTCTAAAAGAATAGAAATGCACGTTAAAAGCAAAA